ACCCATTTACCGTGGAATTGCAGGGTATTGGTTCACATCTGCAACTCAGATTATTCATCGCAGTAGGACAGCACAGTGACAGATACAAACCATTTGCTTCATGTTGAAGACAAAAGAAAATCCAATGAGTCACAGTGGCTAAATCCCGCACTGAAATGTTAAGCCGTTGGCTAAGGTCAAGGGACAGGCTGCTTGGCCACCATCATCACCTGGTTTATTTTATATGCGGGATTTCAGTTTGTGAGGTGCTGAGGCTGAGGGAAATTGATCACCCTCTCAGAAGGGAAATCTGTTGGAAGCATACCTGATCCTTGCTTGAGAAACTCAGCAGGTCTGGCAGCATCTGTGGAGAGAGAAAGCAGGGTTAACCTTTCAGATCCAGTGACCCTTCATCAGAAATGAATTTCTGACCTGTTCCGAAAAAGGGTCACTGGACCCGAAATAATAACTCTGCTTTCTCTCTTCACAAACGCTGCCAGACCTGCTGAGTTGCTCCAGCAATTTTTGACTTTGTTTCAGATTTTCAGCATGTGCAGTCCTTTGGTATTTCTGATCCTTGCAGGCCTATTCCTCAGTTATAGTAAGCAAAGAGCAAGGTAATTGATTAATGGTGAGAATTCTGTCCCTGACTCTGGAGAAAGTCTTGTGCTATAGGAAGCCTAGAGGCATGAAGGGGCGGAAGTGGGTTGGTGGGTGGGAAGGAATGAGGGCACTGGTGGAGGGGGTTGGTGCTGGATGCTGTTGCCAGCTGGAAAGTTCCTTCTTGCCTTTACCTATGTAGCCTCCAAAAGCAGCCTACTCCCTTCCACCCAACTGCTGAGAACATAGAACATAGAACAGTACAGCACAGTACAGGCCCTTCAGCCCACGATGTTGTGCTGACCTATTGTCCGACTAAGATCAATCTACCCTGCATAACCTACATTTTACTATCCTCCATGTGCCTGTCCAAGAGTTGCTTAAATGTCTCTGAAGTATCTGACTCCAATACCACTGCTGGCAGCGCATTCCACACGCCCACCACTCTCTGTGTGAAGAACCTACCTCTGACATCTCCCCTATACCTTCCTCTAATCACCTTAAAATTATGCCCGCTCTTAATAGTCATTTCCGGCCTGGGAAAAAGTCTCTGACTATCCACTCTATCTATACCTTTCATCATCTTGTAAACCTCTATCAAGTCATCTGTCACCCTTCTTCGACCCAATGAAAAAAGTCCTAGCTCCCTCAACCTTTTCTCATAAGACCTGCCCTCCAGTCCAGGCAGCATCCTGGTAAATCTCTTCTGCACCGTCTCTAAAGTTTCCACATCCTTCCTATAATGAGGTGACCAGAACTGAACGTAATATTCCAAGTGTGGTCCAACCAGAGTTTTATAGAGTTGCAGCATAACCTCACAGCTCTTAAGCTCAATTCCCCTGCCAATGAAAGCCAACACACGATACGCCTTCTTATCAACCCTATCAACTTGGGTCACAATTTTGAGGGATCGATGGATGTGGACCCCAAGATCCCTCTGTTCCTCCACACTGCTGAGAATCCTGCCATTAACCTTGTATTCTGCATTCAAATTCGACCTTCCAAAATGAATCACTTCACACTTTTCTGGGTTGAATTCCATCTGCCACTTCTTTGCCCAGCTGTGCATCCTGTCAATGTCCCGTTGCAACCTACAACAGCCCTCCACACTGTCCACAATTCCACCAATCTTCGTGTCATCGGCAAACTTACTAACCCACCCTTCCACTTCCTCATCCAAGTCATTTATAAAGATCACAAAGAGCAGAGGTCCCAGAACAGATCCCTGCGGAACACCACTGGTCACCGAGCTCCAGGCTAAATACTTTCCATCTACTACCGCCCTCTGTCTTCTATTGGACAGCCAGTGCCCATGCCAGACATAAGATGGTATAGACAGCATAGTATTAAGGTTAAGAGTATTGTTAACAAGCCTATAGTTATTTATGTCAATATAATGCCAGACATTGAAAATAGAACAGTACAGCACAGGAATGGGCCCTTCGGCCCATGATATTGTGCCAAACATGATGCCAAATTAAACTAATCCCTTCTGCCTGCCCTTGGTCCATATCCCTCCATTTCTTGCATATTAATGTGATTACCTAAAAGTCCCTTAAATGCCCCTATCTTATCTGCCTCCATCACTACACCTGGCAGTGCGTTCCAGCCTCTTACCACCCTCTGTGTAAAAATCTTGCCCCTCACGTCTCCTTTGAACTTTCCCCCTCCCATCTTAAATGCATGCGCCCTAGTTTTAGATATTCCAACTCTGGGAAAAAGATACTGACCATCAACCCTATCTATGCATTCCACAATTTTATAGACTTCTATCAAGTCTCCCCTCAGCCTGCGCCCATGCAAGAGAAAACCACCTGAGTTTTTCTAGCCTCTCCTTATAGCTCATACCTTCTGATCCAGGCAGCATCCTGGTAAACTTATTCTGCACTCTCTCCAAAGCCTCCACATCCTTCCTCTAATTTGGTGACCAGAATTGAATGCAATACTCTAAGTGTGGCCTAACCAAAGTCTTATAAAGCTGCAACATAACATTTTGATTCTTGTAGTGTCTTCGGCTCAACCATCTTCAGCTGCTTCGTCCATACCTTCTCTCCATCACAAGGGATGTTCACCGATGATTACACAATGTTCAGCATCATTCATGACTCCTCAGATACTGAAGCAATCTGTGTTCAAATGCAACAAGATCTGGACAATATCCAGGCTTGGGCTGACAAGTGGCAAATGACATTCGCGCCACACAAATGCCAGGCTATGACCATCACCAATAAGAGACAATCAACTATCAATATCCTGGGAATTATCATTAACCAGAAACTCAAGTGGACTTGCCACATAAACACAGTGGTGACAAGAGCAGTTCAGAGGCTAGGAATACTGTGGTGAGTAACTCACTTCCTGACTCCTCAAAGCCTGTTCACCATCTACAAGGCACAAGTCAGGAGTGTGATGGAATACTCCCCACTTGCCTGGATGGGTGCAGCCCCAACAACACTCAAGAAGCTTGACACTATCCAGGTCAAAGCAGCCCGCTTGATTGGCACCACATCCACAAGCATCCACTCCCTCCACCACTGACACTCAGTAGCAGCAGTGTGTACTATCTACAAGATGCACTACAGAAATTCACCAAAGATCGTCAGACAGCACCTTCCAAACCCACAACCACTTCCATCTAGAAGGACAAGGGCTGCAGACATATTGGATAACCACCACCTTCAAGTTTCCCTCCAAGCCACTTACCATCCTGTGTTGGAAATATATCACTGTTCCTTCATTGTTGCTGGGTCAAAATCCTGGAATTTCCTCCCTCATGGTGTTGCAGTCCACCTGCTGTGGGTTGACCCACAGTGGTTCAAGAAGGCAGCTCACCACCACCTTCTCAAGGGCAACTAGGGATGGGCAAGAAATGCTGGCCAACCAGCGACACCCACATCTCACAGATGAATAGAAAAAAATCTCAATTCCCAGACCAATAAAGGCAAGCCTGCCATAAGCCTTCTTTACCACCCTATCTACTTGCATAGCCACTTTTGGGGAGCTATGGACTTGAACCCCAAGATCTTCCTGTAAATCAATGCTGTTCAGAGTCCTACCATTAACTATATACATTTCCTTAACACTTGAACTCCCAAAGTGCAGCACCTCACACTTACCCAGATTAAACTCCATCTGCTATTTCTCCACCCAAATCTGCAACTGATCTATATCCCACTGTATCCTTTGACAAACTTCTACATGATCTACAACTCCACTGATCTTTGTATTGTCTGCAAACTTACTAAACCACCCACCTACATTTTCATCTAATCATTTATATTTATATCACAAAACAGCAGAGGTTGCAGTATGGATCCCTGCAGAACACCACTAGTCATGGACTTCCAGCCTGAAAAACACCCTTCCACCACTACCCTCTGTCTTCTATGAGCAAGTCAATTCTGAATCCACACGGCCGAGTCACCGTGGATCCCATATATCTTAATCTTCTGGATGACCCTACCATGAAGGACCATGTTGAAACATTTACTAAAATCCATGTAAACAATGTGCACTGCTCTACCCTCATTGATCACCTTTGTCACTTCCTCAAAAAAGTTGCCTTGAGTTATTTATGTCAATATGATGGCAGACAATTGAGTTCAGCATACACTAACCAAGTGTGTCATTGGAGGGAGCAAAAGGTTGAGTGAGAAGAGTTGGGCTAGCCATTTGATCCATTTTATGTGTGCACCCCCAATGCCCGCCTACAAACTTTCCCCTGGGTATTTCTAATCTTGGTGGGCAGTACTGAGGGAGTGTTGCACAGTCAGAAGTCTCATCCATCACTCAGTGGGTTAGACTGAGATCTGGTCCGTTCTTTCAGGTGGACATAGCCTCTCTTCCCAAAACCAGAACAGGGGCGTTCTTCCTGGTGCCAAGGCTATGATTAATGAGTCAGCTAACCTCACTTAAAACAGATAATCCGGAAATGTCAGCAAGTCACTTGTGCCATCGTGGGATCTTGTTATGCACAGATAATGTTACTTACATCACAACCAAAGCATTTTTAAATGTTTTAAGATTATGCAAGCTACTGTGTAAACTAAAGACCTTTCTTTACATGAATAGTCAGAACTGTCATGATGCAACACTATCCTGGGTTTAATAGCACAGGCCATTGAGTCTGACATAAACCCACCAGATCTTGTCCAACAGTGAGAATGCAGCAAACTGAACCAAACAGGCCATAAAATTAGCTCAAGAGTAGCTTGAACAGAAGACCAAGCACTGAAGCTTCAGAACTATTGTTCCATTCTCCAGCCGGAGACAGAAAATAATAGAGATACTCTATCTTTTATCAATAAAATACAAATAAACTCTTCGGCGTCTTTGCTCTCTTCATAGCTGCACTGTTCACTAGAACATCAATCCAACATTAAATTTCCTTTAATTAAGGAAAGTGTATGTTAGTAACTTACCACAACAATGTAGCGAGGCCTGTACTGAATAGTCCCAAACAGGCCCAAAATGACCACAATTATGTGAAGGAAATTAGCCAGAATGGGAGCCCACTGGTAACCCAGGAAATCAAAGATCTGTCTCTCCAATGCTGCCAGCTAGAAAAGAAGATGGGAAAATGTTGTTTAGAAACTGTAAGTGGAGTTATACACATATTCAATGCAAGTCGTGACTGGTATCTACAAACACAGCTCACACATGCTTACAATTGCACTGGGCATTTTAAAGTCATTTGAAAGGTGATAGGGCATCAAATGGTGAGGTGATTGCCCTTGACATTAAGGTAGCATTTGATCACGTGTGACATTAAGCAGTCCTAGCAAAACTGGAGTCAATTCAGGGACAGTGGTAAAGGTAAAAAAACCACAGAGAAAGCCTTCCAGGGCCTGCTGTCTGAATCCACCATTCCTGCTCTTTGCTTCTACTCCAAAAAGCTGCTTGAAACATAGTTCAATGTGTATTCCTGAGTCTGGCCTCACTGCCTTTCAAAACTAGACAACATGCACGTGAAGCATTCATCTCCCAAAATGTAACATTAACATATAAGTGTTAACCAAAAGATTGCATTTTGATATCTGACTCGATTGTCTGTTTTCAATGTTTTTTGACTAAAATGGTAATTTCAGATTAGATCATTGTGTCTGTTCCACATGGAACCTCACTCTGTGGTCAGGTGATGCAGCAGCCATTTTAGTTCAGCATTTGTCCTTTCCTAAAAGCATTTTAAACTAAGAAATAACAGCCAGATGATGAACACTGAATATTAATGTCTATTTTTTAAACACTATGGTAGCAATTTACATTAGCTCCCCAAATAATGAGCTTTCCTTATAAATGTTTTTAAATTCCACCATAGCCTCACATTTCCCCAATTTCCTACAACCTTACACAACTTCAAACTCTCTGTGCACAATGAATTCTGGCACCTTGTGAAACCTAATTTTAACTATTTCACCACTAATAACCGCTAAGGCCCTAGGTTCTGGATTTCAGACCCAAAGCCTCTCCACCTCACTTTTCTTTGGAAAGTTGGTCAAACTTTGACCTTTACTAAGCAATTGGTCATCTGTCCAGATACGTTTGATACTGAGCTGCAGAAAGACAGATGTTTATTAATAACTGCTCCTAAGTGATAGATTTGCTTCATTAAAGACACACTCCACATCCTCCGTCCAAAGTCCTGACTGTACATTTTTGACAATACTCTACATATCCCTCCAAAGCATAAGCTCCAATTCCTCAATAAAATTCTGGTATCGATCACAGAATCCTGATCACACACATGACCAGGTACCAATCTGTGCACTGTTATTTGATTTTTCCCCTGATCATATATTATTGCAGCACCATACATCATCAGGTTCAATCAAAATCATTATATTTATTGCGGCATCTTTGTCAGTTCCTTGGCAGTTAATAATATTACCAAAGGTTTATGGTCTGTCTCTAATGTAACCTTTGACCCTAATCCATAATTCTAAACATTTTTTGTATGTCCATGCTGCTGCTTGTGTTTTTTGTTGGTCACAGAAAATCTTTGCTCCACTTCTATCAGGTTTGTGGATGCAGAGCAGACTGGTCTGCATTGTCTGTCTTGGGATTGGATTTGAAAGAGTTCTGCCACAGTACAACTGTTACTGCATCTGTTGGTAATTGTGGGTCGTCATGAGTTAGTCTGTCTGAGAAAAGTATAGCCTTGATTCTCTCAAAGAACATTAGTAGGCTTCCAAGGCAATGCTGTGCTTGATGCTGTGAAAACAATCATCATAGCAGTTTGAGATAGTAAGAACTGCCGATGCTGGAGTCAGAGATAACACAATGTGGAGCTGGAGAAACACAGCGGGCCAGGCAGCATCAGAGGAGCAAAGCTGACATTTCAGGTCGGGACACTTCTTCAGACCAGTGGTGTTCCGCAGGGATCCATGTGGCAAATAGTTTTCAAATGTCCTGTATTCTTCCAGGAGTCACATACTGTATTTTTGTGTGAACAATTTTCAGACTGATGTAGCCATTCCTCACCATGTGAAACGTGATCATAACTGCCACCACCTTTCCCTTGTGCTTTCCAACTCTCAACCTTAGTACAACTTTAACATCTGTGCTACAGAAACTGCCATGCCTTAATTCGCTCTCTCCCTGTTGCTTCAAATAAAAACTCCATTCTGTTTTCTCACCATGGCCTGCCTTACTAATGACTCTACTTTTGCTGGCGTCAAATCTGCCCTTGGTTGTAAAATGTCTGATAAATTTCCTTCCAAAACTCTGGCCGCAATGCAATCGCTAATCAGGTCATCTTTCAGGAACCATATTCACAATGATCTGCTAATCAATTCAACTCATTAATAAAAGAATCTCTGCCCTCTCCCTGTTTGGGTACAGTTCGTAAATTATAATTTTCATACTGAAAGCAGGCCCTGCCCACAGAATGGGTCCCAAATGTGAACAAATCATCTGTTAGTTTTTACTAATTGAATTCATTTGCAGACCTTCAGAAACCTTTTAGAAATTATATATCTCTCTTTAGGATAAGGGTGCTAAAAATTTATTTTAAAATCTTAAGAATGTAATTTCTTTAATAGACTAGGAAACTTTCTGCTGTAACCCAGATGCAATTACCAAATGGTTTTATATTGGTTTCAGAAGTGAATGTCAGTTATTTAAATTTAGATTACTATTTGGTAATCAGTACAGTGGTTCAGAAAATGTAAAGAATTTTTAATATGCTTTCAGCCGCCTTAATTAAACAAGATTACCTCTCAAATGTATAAAGGAATATTTTTTAATCAAAAACTTTGCACTTTTTTTTGAAGGAAGCACTTTAAAATGTCTTAGAGATAGTAGAAACTGCCGATGCTGGAGAATCTGAGATAACAAGGTGTAGAGTTGGATGAACACAGCTGGCCAAGCAGCATCAGAGGAGCAGGAAGGCTGACGTTTTGGGTCGAGACCCTTCTTCAGAAATGGGGGAGGGGAAGGGGATTCTGAAATAAATAGGGAAAGAGGGGGAGGCGGATAGAAGATGGATAAAGGAGAAGATAGGTGGAGAGGAGACAGACAGGTCAAAGAGGCAGGGATGGAGCCAGTAAAGGTGAGTGTAGGTGAGAAGTTAGGGAGGAGATAGGTCAGTCCACGGAGGACGGACAGGTCAAGGAGGCAGGTTGAGGTTAGTGGGTAGGAGATGGGCGTGGGACTTGAGGTGGGAGGAATGGTTAGGGAGGTGGGGACGAGCTGGGCTGGTTTTGGGATGCGGTCGGGAGAGGGGAAATTTTGAAGCTTGTGAAGTCCACATTGATACCATTGGGCTGCAGGGTTCCCAAGCGAAATATGAGATGCTGTTCCTGCACCTTTCGGGTAGCATCATTGTGGCACTGCAGGAGGCCCAGGATGGACATATCGTCCAAGGAGTGGGAGGGGGAGTTGAAATGGTTCGCGACTGGCAGGTGTAGTTGTTTGTTGCGAACCGAGCGTAGGTGTTCCGCAAAGCGGTCCCCAAGCCTCCACTTGGTTTCCCCGATGTAGAGGAGGCCACAATGGGAACAGCGGATACAGTATGCCACATTAGCAGATGTGCAGGTGAACATCTGTTTGATGTGGAAGGTTTTCTTGGGGCCTGGGATGGGGGTGAGGGGGGAGGTGTAGGGGCAGGTATAGCACTTCCTGCGGTTGCAGGGAAAAGTGCAGGGGGTGGTGGGGCTGGAGGGGAGTGTGGAGCGGACAAAGGAGTCATGGAGAGAGTGGTCCCTCCGGAAAGCAGATAAGGGTGGGGAGGGAAAAATGTCTTTGGTAGTGGGGTCAGATTGCAGATGGCGGAAGTGTCGGAGGATGATGCGTTGGATCCGGAGGTTGGTGGGGTGGTACGTGAGGATGAGGGGGATTCTGTTTTGGTTGTTATTGCGGGGAGGGGATGTGAGGGATGAGTTGCCGGAAATGCGAGAGACACAGTCAAGGGCGTTTTCGACCACTGTGGTGGGGAAGTTGCGGTCCTTGAAAAACGAGGACATCTGGGATGTCTGGGAGTGGAATGCCTCATCTCGGAAGCAGATGCGGCGGAGGCGAAGGAATTGGGAATAGGGGATGGCCTTTTTGCAGGAAGGTGGGTGAGAGGAGGTGTATTCTAGGTAGTTGTGGGAGTCGGTGGGCTTGAAATGGATATCGGTTTCCAGGTGGATGCCAGAGATGGAGACAGAGAGGTCCAGAAGGAGAGAGAGGTATCAGAGAAGGTCCAGGTGAACTTAAGGTTGGAGTGGAAGGTGTTAGTGAAATGGATGAACTGGTCGAGCTCCTCGTGGGAGCACGAGGCAGCGCCGATACAGTCATTGACGAATACAATTCACGTTTGGACATTGAACAGTTTTTCCGCCGCCTCCGCCTCCGCGCTTACTTCTTTAACCGTGAGCCTAACCCTCCCTCTACTGACCCCTTCTTCCACCTCCAACACACACCCTCCTCCTGGACACCACCCCAAGGCCTCCTACCTTCCCTTGAACCTCTTCATCTCCAACTGCTGTCGAGACATCGATCGCCTCAACCTCTCCACCCCTCTCACCCACTCCAACCACTCCCCCGCAGAACATGCAGCCCTCTGCTCCCTCCGCTCCAATCCCAACCTCACCATAAAACCCGCGGACAAGGGAGGCGCAGTTGTAGTATGGCGCACTGACCTCTACATCGCCGAGGCCAGGCGCCAACTCTCCGACACTTCCTCCTACCGCCCACTTGATCATGACCCCACCCCCGACCACTAAACCATCATGTCCCAAACCATCCACAACCTCATCACTTCAGGTGACCTCCCACTCACAGCCTCCAACCTCATCGTTCCCCACCCCCGCACCGCCCACTTCTATCTCCTTCCCAAAATCCACAAACCTGACTGCCCTGGTCGGCCCATTGTCTCCGCCTGCTCCTGCCCCACCGAACTTATCTCCACCTATCTCGACTCCATTTTCTCCCCCTGGGTCCAGGAACTCCCTACCTACATCCATGACACCACCCACACCCTCCACCTCCTCCAAAACTTCCAATTCCCTGGTCCCCAACACCTCATCTTTACCATGGACATCCAGTCCCTACACACCTGCATTCCCCATGCAGATGG